TAAAATGAAATTATTCCAAAATTGTTTTATTAAAAAAAAAAAATCTATTAGTAGTTCCCATTCTTCTATGTAGGAGTTCAAAACCTGAACATGACCTTTTCCTCTCTTCAGCCAGACTAAATGATTTCATTTTTCCAGTGAGATAAGCTGCTTCCTTGCCTCCAAATATTTAATGTCTGGCCCATTAATACATGTTTGATAAGTATTTGTTGGAAATTAATATTACATTTTTAAAAATCAATAGACTGACTATAAAGTCTGGGGACTGACAGATCTTGGGAATTTATACTTGTAAGTTAACCTGGTTTTGGTCGGAGTCAGGGCAGCCCAGGTGATGCTCAGGTTGTTGTTGTTAAATGCTGTTGTGTCTGTTTCAACCCATAACAACCCTGTATAGGGTTTCCAAGGAGCAGCTGGTGAGCTTGAACTGCCGACTTTGTGGTTCAAACCGATTTTGCAGTCCAGAGCATTAACCCACAGCACCATACCAGGACCCCAATACTCAGGTACAACCAGGTGGTACTCAGATAATCGTTATTGTCAAGTGCCGTCGAGTTGAGTTGATTCCAACCCATAGCGGCCCTGTATAGGGTTTCCAAGGAGCAGCTGGTGAGCTTGAACCGCCAACCTTGCAGTTCAAACAGCTTTGCAGTCTGCAGCATTACCCCACAGCACCACACCAGGACTCCCAGGTAATACTTACCTCAGCTCTTCTCTGTTGGCTTCATCTCTCCCCTCCCCTACCCTTCCAGGTTGCTATCTTTGAAATTCTCTGCCAGCCCTATTCCTAGGTGTCCTCTCTTATGCATAAATATATATAGTATTTCTTACTGCCCATCCTCACTTCCTAATACCACCGAGTCATGCAGGCCAGCGAATGTGAAATGCCCATTTCTGTTTGTGGTTCAGTGAACTGTGTTTTACAGTCACCGTCTTTGTAAACTCCCACCAAATGACACTTTCTGATGTGTCTGGGAAAGAGAAGGTGGGAGAAGCTGCTGATGGATTATAGGATTCGGTTGTGAGTGATTGTTAACAGGGCTAATTGTGATTGGTCCCTTTTGTCGTCCTTGTTGTTAAGTGCCTTTAAGTCGATTCTGACCCACAGCAACCCTGTGTAGGGTTTCCAAGGAGCAGCTGGTGAGCTTGAACCACCCATCTTTGCAGTTCAAACAACTTTGCAGTCTGATGGCATTAGCCCACAGCGCCACGCTGGGTATAAAATGAACCAACTCAGACACAGAAGGCAGATCTCACTACAGTCAAAGAGAAGCCAAGAGTGGAGTTCATGCTTTAGATCCTGAGAGTCCTTGTGTATTGAGCCTCCTGGATACAAGGACAGAAAGCTGTGGCACTACAGGAATAGCAGGGCAACATCTTATCCAAGAGCAAGAGCATCAGACAGCGCGGTGGGCTCCCCAGCCCACAAAGCAAGTAAAGCTGAGTGCCTTTGGGCAGGAGGCTGGTTTGTGGAGTAGGATGCCTACAGGCACTTAATTGGGGAGCTGTTTGCTGACCCATGGAGCTAGAACTTAGTGTCTTTGGGCTGAGACTTATGGTGGAATGAAGTTTGTTTTGAACATTTATGAGAATCCCTGAAAGACTTTGTAACACTGTCTGAGCAGGGCAGAGGCCAGGCTGAGGGGCTCTGGGCATGTTTGAGGACAGGCTGTCCTGACTGGAAGAACTGTGTGCTGTACATTTTCAGAGTCTGTATTAGAACTGGTTGTTAAGTGTATTATCGAGTTGGTTCTGATCCATAGTGATCCTGTATAGGGTTTCCAAGGAGAGGCTGGTGAGCTTGAACCGATGACCTGGTAGTTCAAACCAACTTTGTAGTCCAGCGCATTAACCCACAGCGCCATCCCAGGACTCCTATAACTGCTTTTTGTTGTTAAATGCTGTTGAGTCGTTTCCAACCCACAGCGACCCTGTATAGGGTTTACAAGGAGTGGCTGGTGAGCTTGAACCACCGAACCTTGTGGTTCAAATGACTTTGCAGTCCAGTGCATTAGACCACAGCACCACACCAGCACTCCCTAAAATCGGTTAACTTCCCTTAAAAAAAAAAACCAAAAACCCTTTAATTGTGAGTATGGTGTCAGGGTTCTGTGGGGCACTGCAACAGATTATCAAACCCAGGACAGTGCACCTATAAGGAGCTCTAGTAGCGTAGTGGTTTCAAATAGGACTGTGAACCTTTAAGGTCAGCAGTTTGTAACTACCAGCTGTTCTGTGGGAGAAAGATGAGGCTTTCTGCCCCGTGAAGATTTACAGCCTCAGAAACCCTATGCAGGGTTGCTATGAGTCGGTTCTGACTCCACGGCACATAACTACCACCACCAGAGTGTACCTGGGGTAGGGGTGGTTGGAGCCATTTTGTATCACTATTTATCAGAGAAACAGAAAAGCGGTCTCCTCCTTCCACCCTGCCCCTGTCTCACCTTGTGGACTCTGAGTGGGTTTCTGGGAAGAAGGTCCTGATGATCTACTTCTGAAAAGTCAACCACTCAACAATGGCCCCCTTCCCACCCAGGTACAGTACAATTCTGTTACGACACACATGGGGCCACCATAAGCCAGAATAGACTTGATGGCAACTTTTATTTATTTTTGAATAATACTGCCTCTTTTATAATGTAACCACTAGAGTTACTGCAATGGCAGGAATTTCAAGCCAGGTAAGAGGAGACTCCTCAGGCTGCCAGATGGTGCGAGAGATAGGTATGTGTGAGCAGTTCTCTTGACTGAAGCGAGGCCCAGGGGATCAAATGTTGCAATCACATTTGAAAAAAGGAGTCAAGTGACCCTCATTAATCTTTAGAGTAACTTTGTTATAATATCCCTCCTCAGTACCTGGATTTAAATTTAACTGGGGGTAGGGGTGGGGCAAATCCTAGCCTTCACATGTTTCTTGCATCCACAACCCACGTTATATCATTTTCTCTTCTAAACCATCACTCTTAAAATAATGAGAATAAAACAAAAAAACAAACCCACTGCTGACAACAATGTTGTTTTTGTTATGTGCCGTGGAGTCGGTTCCGACTCATAGAGACCCTGTATAGGGTTTCTGAGGCTGTAAATCTTTCTGGGAGCAGAAAGCCTCATCTTTCTCCCGCTGAACAGCTGGTAGTTTCAAACTGCTGACCTTGTGGTTCGCAGTCCGATTTGTAATCACTACGCTACAAGTAACTTTATTTTGACCTAAGGCATCACAATCAGAATATTTTTCAGATAAGCCAACTGGTCCTTATTATATAGATGATGTGTATGATCTATATAATTATGTGTATGATCTATATAATTGACAGTAGGCAGAGCCAACGTTCGGAATCGGGACTCTCTGGTACCTAACCTCTTGTTCTGCTCTCCTGTCAACCTGGACAGATTTGCTCCAAAGTCCACATCTGGATGTTAGTGCTGTCGAGTCGGTTCCAACTCATAGTGACCCTGGGTAGAGTTTCGGAGCAGCTGGTGAGTTTGAACTACCGACCTTGAGGCTTATCCTACAGTGCCACAGGTGGCGGATTAGAATCTTCACCTGGATTTCTAGGAAGGCACTTGGTAGAGGAACTGGGGGTGTGGGGTGTTGTGTGTGTGTGTGTGTGGCCAGGGCACTGTTAGGATGCTTCCATTTTCTCACATCATGTTTTGGTAATGATAGAAATTAAGTTCTGTTTTCAAATTCTACTTGGGGACAAAGATTTGAAAAATTTCCTCCCGCACCCTTAGTTTTGTGTACATACGCCAATGTGATAGACAGAATAATTTTAATACATTTAATGCTGATCCTTCATTTACACTATCATAAATTACAAAGTATTGCCCACTTCACAAAATAAACCATTTCCAGATAAATTTTTAACAGTATCAAGAAGTACATAAGCTACACCAACAAATCTATACAGCTGGGAGGAACAATGATAGCAGGGACCAAGAAGTTTTTTGACCCCACAGCCTGGGACCTTCCAGGATAAGAACTGTATTCCTCCTTTTAGCTCCAATGAACCACACACACAGTAATTCTCTTCTGGTCACTCCAAAACAACACTAATTGAGTAATCACATGGATCGTCTCAAACAATCAGAGGAAATGACATTAGAGTTGGATTTTTTTTTTTTTTTAAACCAACCTAAATTTACAGTTTTTTGATATCTTAAATATTTCACCTATATTACAAAATATAGAAATCTTGGTGTGAAAAGTTCATGCTAGGATAAATATAACCAAGAGAATGGTGCTATAGTCATAAAATCAGATTAACATTAGTATCCACACAAAGTTGCTTTTATCCAGGAGAAACAAATATTTGGTTAAGAACAAAGCTTAATTCTTGCTTTTCACAATAGGCTTGTTTATAAAACAAAACAAAAAATTTTAATTTAACAAAACATTCTGCAAGTTCACTTTCACGTAAATACAGATATGTGACCAAATGAGGCCTAGCCATTAACAAATAAATTCAGAAAACTTGCCCAAAAGAAAGATGCTAACAATTTACACGGCCCAGTGACATCCAGTGTCCCCAAATCACTCTACATTAAAATGCATCCTGCAAGTTCCAGGACAACTGCACATACTATGGAAAGACTGACCAATTCTGAAACATATTTTGGGAATTCACAACATTTTTCATGGAAAGAAAAGACATGGGCATGTCAAAGCATTCTACAATTGCTTTAAACATACACAGTATAATAGTAGGCCAGTACTTGAGAGCAAAATCGTCAAAAGCAGAGATGCGATGCCAGTGGCGGGTGAAATTTCATTGGAAAGCACTGCTAACAACAGAGGTATGTCAGGATAATACTGCATTCGTGGTAAACTTTTCTAAGGGCATCAAAGTAAGAACACAGGACAAGGTACACTGGGTAATAATCAATGCACTGCATTGAGTTCTATTTGCTAAAATAAAATTTCTTGCAGCTAAAATAAAAATACATTTTACAATATAGGCTTCATTTAACATGTCACATAGAATTGTCACATAGAATTGTCTTTTTGTAAGTGGAAAATGTATAACTTTATCAAGTACCTCTATGAATTAAGTTCCCTTTTATTACGGATTAAGACTGAACTTTAAAGATTTACATTTTTTTTAATAAGTTAAAGATTTATTAATCATTCTTCCAGAAAACAGACATACATACATACATACGAGGCACAGCAAAAGACACAAGGTGAGGGAGCTTCTCTTGCCCTCACCCTGTTTTCACGTGGAGAAGGTGTGTGTGTCTATAAGACACGGTACCCGACTTGGCAATCCACTGCAGCCCAAGAAATTCTGCTACTTGTTTGAAAAACAAATCAAGTGTAAGAGAGAAAGATGTTTTTATTCTTTGAGCCTTATCTTATCAAACTCGTTTCCTTGATGGATTAAAACAAAACATCTTCATTTTCTATTAGAATCTGCACAATCAGTTTTTGGTACCGCATGTCATGGAGGGTAGTTAGGGTGCTGTCCTCTGGGGGCCTCATTAGGGTAGGCCCAAACACGATGCCCAGGTTTTCTGCATTCATGAAATTGTCCTTTTCATTCATAGTCACCCTGCAAGAAAACCAACAACAGGCAAACTGTATGGAGACTTGTGGATGAAACTACAAATTCAATATGCCCCCGAGAAATTCTCAGGTTTAGGAAAGTTGAAGAATAAGAATTATTGAAAGGTAAGAAGAAATGTTTTGTGGTGTTTTTTTTGTTTTTTGTTTTTTTTGGATTGCTGACTTTACATTCAGCTAGTAGAAGTGAATTACTAAATCAATCTGCTATCGACGCAATCTGCAAAATTGGAAAATCAAAACTTCTTGTTCAATTAATCTAGACCTAAAATTGAAAGAAGTCCTACCTAGTTGCACTGTGGGTAAGGCATTGAACTGCTAACCACAAGGTTGGTGGTTCAAACTCACCAGCTACTCTGCAGGAGAACAGTGAGACTGTGTGATCCCATACAGATTTTCAGTGTAGGAAACCCTAGGTAGGGTAGCTAGGAGCTGGGGTTGACTTGATGGTAGAGAGTTTTGATTTGGAATCATTTAAGAGATCTTGATTGGAAAGGAGCAGCAGATTCTTAGCTGGTCCACAGGGCATGCATATTTTTAGGTTGTCCAAACAGGTTCTTGGTTATTAACTGAAAGGTTGGGTCATTTGAATCCACCCAGAAGGAAAGCCTGGTTGATCTACTTTCAAAAAATCACAGCCAAAGAGCATACAGAGCCCAGTACTATTGCGAGACTGATAGTCGGTCACCTTAAGTTGGTATTGACTCAACAGCTACTGCTTTGTTTTGGGTGCTTATATATATATCTTTATCCCTCCTGCTGATTCCTGCCTGTCTGTCTGCAGGGGAGCACGGGACCTGAGGGCAGCTTCCCTGTCTACTGGCAGGGCTGGTGCCAGGAGAGAAGGGTTGATGGTAGGGTAGAGCATGGCTGCCATGAGTTTAGGATAGCCAGGCTGTTATCATGGGACAGGGTGTGGTTGAATTGTGGCCAAATGGGGAAGCAGTTCTACATGATTTCTAGCTCTCACAGGATGAAGTCTGGAGCAGTAATTATTGTTGGAAGTGAAAAAACTCAATTTCAACATCCTGATAAGAACTGCAAAACCTTTAAGAATGAAATGCAAGCTCTAAAGTTTGGTTTAATACCTTCCTCATGGAATCGAGCTTTATATTCTTCCGAATTGTTGTATTAGTATTAAGAAACTTAAGTGTGGGAAAAAGATTCATAACAGATCTCAAAGGGACTAGACTCGCTAAAGAACAAACGGATGAAAGGCTGTTCTTTGTGGTTATTCTCTAGGAGCAAATTGGGCTTGGCCCTTTTGCATTATTTTAGGAAGTTTAACTCAGACTGCATTATTGTCATGCTGCAAAGCTAAGAAGGTGGTAGGAAAGAAGACCTTTCTTCACTAGTAAAGTGGTCACATCGCCCTGTAGGTCAGGCACTCTACCTGACCCCACAAGATGGTAGTTCAGCTACTGGCATTTAGGAGTCCTGGTGCGGCGCTGAAGGATGAGGCACTGGACTGCAAGGTCTGTTTGAACTGCAAGGGAAGCAGTGGTTCAAACTCGCCAGCAGGTCCTTGGAAACCCTACAGGGTTGCTGTCTGTCAGAACCAACTCAACAGCACTTAACAACTAGTACTTAAGAGTTAGCTGGGAGCTGTTAGCACTTTTTCTGATAGTAGTACTTTGTTTTCCAAACTGTAACCATTGGATATTGATCATGACTAAAGGATAATTTATAGTTAAACCTAAGTCTGATACTCATAATCTATTTATTACTTAAATCCAAAAATTACTTGTGCTCTTACATTCAATAAATGAAATTGTAGCTAATTGTTGTTAGGTGCTGTTGAGTTGATGGTGATTCATAAGTGATCCCATAGGTTAGAGTAGATCTGCTCTTGTGATTTCTTGGCTGTAATCTTTAGGGACTATGCATACAAAAGCTGGACAATGAATAACGTAGACTGAAGTAGAATTGACGCTTTTGAAGTATGGTGTTGGAAGAGAATATTGAAAGTGCCATGGGCTGCCAAAAGAACCAGTAGATCTGTTTTGGAAGAAGTGCAGCCAGAGTGCTCCTTGGAGGGCCAGGATCTTCATGTCTCATACTTTGGACATATTGTCAGGAGGGACCAGTCGCTGGAGAATATCATGTTTGGTATGGGAGAGAGGGTCTATCATGTTTGGTATGGGAGAGAGGGTCAGAGATAAAGAGGAAGATCCCCAGTGAGATGGATTGGCAAAGTGGCAACATCAATGGGCTCAAGTGTGGCAACCATTGTGAGGTTGGCCCGGGACTGGGCAGTGTTTTGTTGTGTTGTATATAGGGTCGATGTGAGTCAGTACTGACTCGATGGCACCTAACAACAATGATAATCTTTAGGGAAGAATATATCCAAGTTTTTCCTCTGATGGATCCCCTAGATGAGTTCACACTACCGCTCAACCACATGTGCCACAAGGACGCCTTAAAAAGGAAATCACTTACCCCCAAATTAGTTGTGCTCTTAAATTCAACAAGTGAATCCAAATGGGAATTATCTAGAGCTAAGTGTCATCAACGTTCACTACTCTGGGTCCAAGCAACAGAATTTCTACACCTTATGAGGCCTAAGCCAAAGAAAGCCCTCACCACCTTGCTTCCTAACGTATGGTCTGCTCTCAGAAGAGAGAAGGGTCTGCAAGGAAGGGACCACTTACTTCTTCAGGTGGATCATCAGGTATCGGAGAGTCTCATAATGAGCAGGAGGCAGCAACATCAACACGTCATGGACTGCTTCCAACCTCTCATCTGCATTGAGAATTTCTATGAAGATAATACATAGCAAATATCAGCTCTGAGTTGAAACATCACATAAAGGTTTTCAGCAGACAGAAAACTTGCTTGGGTTACAGATAAGAGGGAAGCTAATAGTCAGACAATTCCAGGTAATATTTTGGTTTAATCAATTTTTTCTGTATCCTGTGTCTGCCTGAGCACCACAGACTCGTTGAATGTCTACTGTGTGTCTGTTGGTGGGGAGGTTGGAAGCTGGACACAACCCTTGCCCTCCAGGAATTTATAGTCTGGTAAAATGCTTAGTGTCTAAAGGCACATGCACAATCTGTGTTTTGCCTGTCTTCTGAACACTGAATCGATGAGACATTTCAGGAAACAACCTTGAATGTAAATGACACCACATTTGGTAGCATTATCTGGCAGTTGTCTAATCAATGATTTTCCTGGCAGTCCCCTGTAACTGACTATCTAATGCACTACAGGGGCACTGGCACATGAGGCAGCCAACTCAGCTTGCATGAATGTCACATTTCACTCAAGTGTTGGCACGAGCAACTTGGTGGACAGCCTACAGGCAGGAAGTAGATACCAGGCCCATGGACAATGAAAGGAAGCGTGCATGCTTCTGTAATTTGGGTCTCTGATAGGTGTTGGCTGCCCTCTCCCATTCTTCCTGAGAAGGAGGGTGCCTAGTTGCTAGAACTCCCCAGGACCCAGGGAGGAATATACCCTTACCAGAGATGAGGGCCATAGCTCCTCTACAAAGTCCATCTTGTATGAATCATAGCCTGGCCTATCTGTGTCTTCCCATGACCATACTTAGTAGCATACACATAAGCCTTTCATCCTCTCTCTGCTGCCTGCCGGCCATTGACCAAGCAACTATGGCAGGGGGAAGGCGATTGTGGATACTCTATGTCTGGACCTATGAGTGCAACTTGCTAAGCCCGGCTTTCCCCGTCTGTAAAATGGGAATGACAACCAGGTTGGGCAGATGAGAAAATTAAACTAGGAGACACTGGTGATGGTTCCTAGTACAAGCAGGCTTCCAAAAGTTCATGGAAAAATTCCATTATCTTTTCATTCCATTGTTCCATGAACTTTTTGAAGGCCCCTTATATAGGACTTGGCATAACATATTCTTGGCATATTAATGAACTATGAACAGCATCCCTGGGAAAAACATGAAATGTGACTTTCATTCATTAGCAGAGATGAAAAATCAACCTAGAGCATTACTCATTGATCCACATCTGCTTTTCCTTACTGACAGATTCATGTTGTCAATGTGTGAGAGAAGATGTCCCACCGTGATGCTTCTCAAATGTTGAAGGAGGGCTCCCTGGCACCCAACTTCAGCCCAGTCTAGTTGGCCTGGAACTGGCTCAACTTAGCTAGTGAACTATGCCTGGTTTTCTATTAACTCTACTGCTTGCTGTATCCTCACTTGGCAAAGCATGTGGCTCAGGCATACTTTAAGTAGCTCTGGATTTGAATTTTCTTAAGGTTAAAAGCTTTTCACATAAAAATTTGAAACTTTGTTCTCAGTACTTACTGGCTGCTTCTATGAACTTGGAATAGGTATCATAGGTAATGACAGGAATGGGTAAGTCTCTAAAGTAGAGTTTAAGGGCTCCAGTGATGATGTTTATGTCTGGATAGATGTTGGCTGATATATCTGCCTTTTCACCATCTGAAAAAGAATCAAGGATCCAGTTCTTAATTAGTACCCTATTGTACCAAGTTAAAAGCATGTACAGAATGACTGTTTCCTCACATGTCTCAGCTGACTCCTTTGGCTTCTCATAACACTGAGGGGATAGCAAAAAGCAATTGGAGGAGAGCAACATTGGTGTCTGAAGTTAGTGTAACCAAAGAGAGCAGTGAAATAGACTTGAAAAATACTGCCTTGGGTCCCAGGCTCTGGTAATTTGTTAAGTAGACGTTCAGCACAGTGAGTTGTACCATCTATACAAAGGATAATCATTGGATAGCAATCTAATTTGAAAATAAGCATCAGGAAGCTCCTTTCTTTCCACCAGTCTTTTCTGGACTTGGATTTGAAGGTCACACACACTAATAATGACTGAGTATCTTAAGTTTCTATTGTCCCACATTCGCACTGACTTAAGTTGCTTTTCTTCTTTTATGGTATTTTCTTTCAACGTTTTTACTGTGTATTGGGTGAAGGTTCAACAACGCATACACGTTTTGTTTCATCTCATTGATTGCAGTCCCCATGTATCCCACTTTTTCTGTGTATTTCCTGTTTCCATTCTTGCACCTTCCTGCCTTCTGAACTTTGTCCTTGCGTAAATGTTTTATTTCAAATAATTATACTAAGGAGTACTTACCTCCCTAGTGTTTTTGTTCACCATATAGGCCTATTTATGATTCCTGGTATGGCACTGTAGGATCAGCCCTGGACTGCGAACCACAAGATCAGCAGGTCAAACCTACTAGATGCTCCTCAGAAAACCTACACAGAGCCGCTATGAGTCGGAACCAACTCGATGGCCTGTTAACAATGAAAGACCTATCTATTGTTTACTGAAAAGTAAGCCACAGGGGTGAGCTCAGATTCAGGCCTGAAGGGCTACTAAAGACCACAGTGTCTTTGGGGTTCAACCAGCCTGTATTTCATCACCAAATCTGGTCTTTTAGCTTTTTAATCTCATTTCACCCAGGACCTTCTTTAATGGAATCCCTTTCAGAACCATCATCAACAGGAAGGAGTCTTCAGGGACCATCTAGTTCTTTTTGGTCCTGAAAACCGAGGGTTTCTGTTTTCTTTTTTTGAAGTTTCTTTTAGATGACCCTTCCCTTCTCCTCATCTAGCAGGACTTGAATCTGAGAAACTGCAACGTGGTGATAATCGCACAATGGGATGAAATGCTGCCTCATTCTGCACCATTCCAATGATTGGCTACAAGTTAGACTCCACTTAAATCTGTTCCGCATCATAGCAATATATGGACGCCTCGGCTAACAGGTGGGTGGTAGCAGACTTGAGGAGTACTGGCTGCAAATCAAACTTCGGTGTCCTACAAGAAGGGGAGAATTCCACCACAGAGCTATCACTGTTTCTCTGGTAAGTGGTTTTATTACTATTTTTACAATCATTCCCAAGACAACTTTCACTTTGATAACAACTAGTAAGTGGTGCTGCAAGATAGGCAGTTCAAACTCACCAGTTGCTCCTTGGAAACCCTATACAGAGTCACTATGGGTTGGAACTGAATCAGCAGCACTTAACAAGAAATGTCAGATGTTGAGACCAGGTGTGGCAGGATAATGTGCTGGACTGCAAGGTCGTTTTGAACCACAAGGTCAGAGATTCAAACCCACCAGCCGCTTCTTGGAAACCCTATACAGGAACGCTATAAGTCAGAATTGACTGGATGGGACTTAGGTGAAAGAATCAATGCTGCTGCAAATTTGGCTCTGAGAAAAAAGTACAGAAAAGACAAAATATAGCAGATCTACACTCTTTGTTGTTGTTTGTTGTTGTTGTTAGGTGCCATCAAGTCAGTACCAACTCAAAGTGACTCTATACACAACAGAACGAAACACTGCCTGGTCCGGGACCAACCTCACAATTGTTACTACACTTGAGTCCATTGATGCTGCCACTTTGCAAATCCATCTTGCTGGGGGTCTCCCTCTTTTTCTCTGACCCTCCACTTTACCAAATATGGTATCCTTCTCCAGCAACTAGTCCCTCTGGACAATATGTCCCAAGTATGAGAGATGAAGTTTGGAGCACTCTGGCTGCACTTCTTCCAAAACAGATCTGTTTATTCTTTTAGTAGCCCATGGTACTTTCATATTCTCCTCCAATACCATAACTCAAAAGCATCAATTCTTCTACAGGCTTCCTTATTCACTGTCTAACGTTCATAAGCATATGAGGTTATTGAAAATATCATGGCTTGGGTCAGGTGCACCTTAGTCCTCAAGCTGACATCTTTGCTCTTCAACACTTTAAAAAGATCTTGTGCAGCAGATTTGCCTGATGCAATATGTCATTTGATTTCTTGGTTGCTGCTTCCATGAGTGTTGATGGTTGATCCAGGAAAAGTGAGGTTTTTGACAACTTCAATCTTTCCTCCATCCATTAGAATGTTGTTTGTTGATGCAGTGGTGAGGATTTTTGCTCTTGTTTTTTACATTGAGATGCAATCCATACTGAAGGCTGTGCTCTTTGATCTTCATCACTAAGTATTTTAAGTCCTCTTCACTTTCAGCAAGCAAGGTTGTATCATCTGCATATCGCAGGTTGTTAATGAGTCTTCTTCCAATCCTGATGTCACATTTTTCTTCATTTAACCCAGCTTTTCAGATATTTGCTCAGCATACAGGTTGAATAAGTATGGTGAAATAATACAACCCTGTCGCACGTCATTCCTAATTTTAAACCTTTTCAGTATTCCCATGTTCTGTTCAAACAACTGCCTCTTGGTCCAGGTACAGATTCCTCATGAGCACAATTAAGTGTTCCGGAACACTCATACTTCACAGTGTTGTCCATAGCTTGTCATGATCCACACAACTGAAAGCCTTTTGCGTAGTCAATAAAGCACAGGTAAACATCTTTCTGGTATTCTCTGCTTTCAGCCAAGATCCATCTGACGTCAGCAATTATATCCCTCGTTCCATGGCCTCCAGCTTGAACTTGTGGAAGTTCTTTGTCAATGTATGTTTGCAGCTGTTTCTGTATTACCTTTAGTAAATCTTTACTTGCATGGGATAGCAAACATATTGTCCAATGATTTCCGCATTCCGTTGGGTCACCTCTCTTTGGAACGGGCACAAATACGGGTCTCTTCCAATCAGATAGTTATCTTCCATATTTCTTAACACAGGGGAGTGAGTGCGCCTCCTATGCTGCCTCATTTTGTTGAAAGATTTCAATTTGTATTCCATCAATTCCCGGTGTCTTGTTCTCTTCCTTCAGTATTATTGGCTCTTGACCATATGCTACCTCTTGAAATGGTTGAACAGTCAATAATTTGGCCAGAGAATCCTTTAGTAATTAAAGTCGAGGCTTGAATTTTCTTCATTTCCCTCAGATTGGTACATAAATTTGAATAATATTTGTATTAACTGGTCTTCCCTGTACGTGCATGGTTTTTATCCTATCACAGTATCACAGACAGCATTGTACCTCATGAGAGATCTGGGTATGTTCTTTTTGATGATGAATGCAACACCATTCCTCTTCAATTTGTCATTCCAGGCATAGAAAAGCATGTGGTTGTCAGATTCAAAATAGCCAGTACCAGTCTATTTCAGCTTATATTTGTTCCATTTCCAATTTTCCTAGATTCATACTTTGTACATTCCATGTTCCAATTATTAATGGATGTTTACAGCTGTTTCTCTCCATTTTGAGTTGTGCCCCATCAGCAAATGAAGGTCTCAAGGGCTTTTCTCCATTTGCATCATCACGGTCAACTCTACTTTGAGGAGGCAGCTCTTCCCCAGTCGCATTTTGAGTGCCTTCCAACCTGAGGGGCTTGTTTTCTGGTACTATATCTGACAGTGTTTCTCTGCTATTCATAAGGTTTTCAGTGACTAAATATAAATCCTGGTTGGTTGTTTACCTTGCATAGGGTTTCCAAGGCTATAAATCTTTATGGGGGCAGAAAGCTCATTTTTTTTTTTCTCCCACAGAATGGCTGGTAGTTTCTAACTGCTGACCTTGAGGTACAACTAGCACCCCACCCCCACTATGCTACCAGAGCTCCTTTCCAATGTAGGAATTGAGCTTTTAAGGCAACTCAAAGTACTCTGGAGAGGCCTACCTATGAGATTTCTAAACTACTCTTCTTTGGCTTCCTGAAGAAGCTGTGAAATCCCATCCTCAGTATGAATCAAATCTCTTGTCAAAAATCAAGGTGCATCTAGGTGCTAAGGACAGGTTTGGTGGTATGTAAGAAGCTCAAGCTTACCTCTGTCAAATGCCATTTTGACATCTTCGATGTGTTCAGTGAACCCAGAGACTCTGTAAAGGCCTTCTGACTTTAATCCTGGTTTTTAGAAAAAGACATGGGTTTTTTAACATCAGCTCTAAAACATCTAAAGAGACATCATGTCTACACCGTGTGGTGTCAGGAAATTATCAAGTGTAATCTGTGCTCTTTGAGATTATTCACATCAGAACTTGGACTTACAACTTCCAGTGGAAGTCTGTCTTCACTGGCTCTGTAGCCCTTGGAGATATGCTTTTCTTCCTGCCTGGCTTTACAAAATTGACCAATGTTTCAGATTTTCATCAACCTTAGGGTCTCTTTTCTATTGTCTATCAAACTGGCAGGTACACATTTCACTGCTAGAGGAAGCTCCCCAGCTTCTCCTTAACATCATCTTTCTCCATGCATTCTGCTAGGTACATACATGTATATGTGTGTCTGTGTGTATATATGATACATACTATCCTACTTTTATTGGATCAAAATTTTATAACCTTTCATTTTTTACCCTAATACATTCAATGTTTAACTGTTATTGGCTTACTTGTTATACTCTCATGTACGCAGATACATAAATCCTAATTAAAACTTTGATCATTGTATACTAAGGCTAAGAAAAAGGCTGATTTAGAGTTAATTTGTCCAACTTTTCCCTAAAACCTAACCAAGTCCCCAAAATATCAAAAGGGATAGAGGCTCAGAGTTTAGACATGGTATGTCAAAAACTAGCTACTATCCAATCTAGAACTACAGTAAAAATAAGCAACCCCAAATCCCTGCTGTCGAGTCAATTCTGACTCAGTGACATTATACGACAGAGTAGAAAGAACTTCGCAGGGTTTCAGATTGTTGTACATCTGTACGGTGGCAGACAGCCTCATCTTTCTCTTGTGGAGGGGCTGGTGGGTTTGAACTGCTGATACTTAACCCATAGTACCACCAGGCTGCTGCAGTATATGCTATCAGATCTTGATAACTCACTCATGTACCTGGTCATACATTTGGCCAACATTTGCATCATGTGTATGATTGACTTACTCTATATGAGGGTCTGCCCTAGGTCAGGATCAGAGAGGACAAACACAAGACCTACATATTCTCATCTGACCATGACAGACATGTCCAATTATAATCTGTTCTTTTCACTGAATCTTACTCAGCATCAGAACTTGCCTCAGTATAATTGTCTAGGTTGCCAGCACTGTTTAACTGGAGTTGGCCCATGAGATCAAACCAACTTGTCAATCTGATCTAGATGGTGGCTCATGTAAATAAATCTCAGTACAGTTTAACATGTACTGCAACTGTGGCAACTCCATGGAGAGGATGGGGGCAGAATAAAGTGAAGAACTAGTTCTGCCCGCTGATAGAAGGTGGCTAGGAAGCTCTTACTGAGAAGCTAATCTCTGCAGGATGGGTTGGAGTTTGTCAGGGTAGGAGAGCTGCTAGCTGACCTTCCAATATCTGTTCTCCTCTGCCTCTGTGGTAAAAGAACATTTGATTTTGAAAATATATTTTCCAGCATTCCCATCTGTATCATTGAGACATGCAAAAGAGAATGGTGGCAGTCTGCTTGGGTCAGGATGACTGAGGATTGTAACTTTTATATTTTCAATGCATAGTAATTAGGGTGTTGGTGAAAAATACTGAAATCACCATGGAAAGTTAGAAGAACTACAGCTTAGAAGCAAGGGTGGCAAGACTGAGGGAGCAGTTCCTGGAAAAGGACATTATGCGTGGTAAAGTAGAGGGTCAGTGAAAAAGAGGAAGACCCCAATGAGATGAACTGAAACAGTGGCTGCAACAATGGACTCAAATAAAATGTGAAGGACTGTGACAGTGTGCAAAGGTCATAATGCGTCAGAACTGACTCGACAGCATCTAACTACAGTACATAATGTTGGCTCAATAAACATCTGAGTGTATATACATGTATAGCTTCTCTAGGAAAAGGAAATGGATAGAGGTCGTTTTCCTAAGAGTATGGGAGAGTCCATTGATCAATCAGAGGAAAGGTTCCTGACAACAGTAAAAAGAGAGAGAGAGAAAAAAAAAAAATTACTGAGTATAGATTATTTTCCAAACCTCTTGCTTCAATTTCCCGAATGCATATGTCGACCACCATGGGCCTCTGAGTGTTGTGAGCTTTCACGAGTGTTGTGAGGTCACAAAAATACACTTTCTTGATCCTCTTGAGATCTGGTTGGCAGTCATTGGGAACATGCTTGGAACATTGCTTGTGTACGTTCAACCCACAGTCTGTAAACAGAGAAGCCACATTAGCCTCAGCCAGCCTTTTTGTCACGGACGGGCACAAATTATGTTACCTAAAGTAGAAAGAAATGAACGGCGTAGGATGTGATACCGTTCTCTGGAACATCTTCTCTAGAAGGGATATCTGCATCTCAAGGTGAGTATAAAATGCATGGGATTGTTCACTAAAGCAGCTTAGGGAATTAGCTGGGTTGGTGGTATATTTATTCTTCTTTGAGGGTTAAAATGCTTTGGGATGACAGATGAGCTTTTGGGTGTGAATTCCCAGACCCCTAGCACCACTAAGTCCTTGATGCCTCTTTTGTGGCTCTATCTTATTACCTGCCATTGAATCAGTCCCCAACTCACATACCATGGAAAACAATGTGGCCCAGCCCCGTTCCATCCATAGTGTGGATCAGATCATTGAGACCCACAGGGATTTCAGTGGCTAATTTTCAGAAGGAGAGCACCAGGACAGTCTTCCTAACAAATCTTACTCTAGAAGTTCTGCTGAATCTTGTTTGGCATCCTAGCCCCATGCAGGCTTGTGCTGACAGACAGGTGGTGTTGTGCATGAGTCTACTGGCCAGGAATCAAACCCAGGTTTCCCACATGGAAGGTGAGAGCTCCAGCCCCGAACCACTAATGCCCTACTCTATCTCTGTAGGAAACTCAAATATTAGATTTGAGCAGTCCATGATCACTGGTGTGGCACTGTAGTAAGCACTAGACTGTTACCTTTCTGGTCAGCAGTTCAAACCCACCAGCCACTCCTCAGAAACCCTGTAAAGGGTCGTCATGAGTCTGAACTGACTCAAGGGCACTAAACATGACTACTGGCAGCCCCTTGTCATTTCCTAGAAAGTTAGTTACCCCATATAGTTTCTAATCTCTTCTGCTTGCTGGGCAGTTCCAGGTAGACAACTCTCCTTTCTACTTGCCTTATTTTGATGCCAGTGAGATGGAAAGAATGTCTAATTGAACACCAGTGAGCGCACCTGAGAGTTTACAATTTACAACAATGCTACGTCATGTGATGATCAGAGTAATTATTTATGAAGCTCATTATCAAGATTCAAAGCTGAAAGAAAGGGTGAGTTTAAGGTCAGTGAACACATTAAAAGCCTTGTTAGCAGTTGGTACCCACTGATGGAATGTCTCTAACAAATAGTAAGGCATTCTGGGAAATAAAAATTTAAAGCTGATGCTGTTCAAAGCCAGTGGGCCAAAACTGCTTTTCTAGATAAGACAAATAATATTGCATGTATATACACTCTATCATAAACATACAAACGACAAATTTTGCCATCAGCTGCTTTAGAAAAACATTTGCACCTGGTATGGCACTTAGGAGTAGCACTGGACTGCAAACCACAGGGTCGGCGGTTCAAGCCCACCGTCCACTCTTCAGAAACCCCTATACAGGGTTACAATGAGTTGGAACCGATTAGACGGTTAACAATAACAAACCTTTATACAACGTGGATTAAGCATTATCCAAATCCACCGCCTGCTCTTGGGAGAATGACTGCTCCCATGAAACAGTTCTACTGTGTTTTATGAGGTCCTATGAGGCAGGATCAGCTGGATGGCTGTGGGTGTCAATAATTTATAAGTGTTTTCATGTAATGCTTACTGACTGAACTGACAGTTTTATCAACATGAGATACTTTCTAAACTGAAGTAAATATCAATAGTATTTTGATAGTTCTATAAGGAGCGCTGGTAGCGTAGTGGTTACAAATTAGGCTGTGAACCTCAAGGTCAGTAGTTTGAAAACTACCAGCTGCTCCGCAGGAGAAAGATGAGGCGGCTTTCTGCTCCTGTAAAGATTTACAGCCGCGGAAACCCTTTACAGGGTTGCTATGAGTCGGAACAACTCCACGGCACAAGCCACCACCATTTAGTAAAAGGAGTCCTGGTGTGGCGCTGTGGGTTAATGCACTGGACTGCAAAGTTGGTTTGAACCACAGTGTAAGCAGTTCAAGCTCACCAGCTGCTCCTCGGAAACCCTATACAGGGTCGCTATTGGTCAGAACCAACTCAACGGCACTTACCAATTTAGTGAATGTTTATTTTGGGGAACAGTATAAATACATAGTTCCCTCATTTTCTTGTTCAAGGCCTCTCTTATAAAGGGGAGCCAGTAAATGGCACCTACCCTCTTAGAGTAGATACGAAGATCAAATAAGTTAATAAAATAAGCTAATATATGCAAAATATATGCAAAGTATTCAGTTATGTGCCTGAAATAGAGTGCCCACTTTGTGAAGGTACCATGGTGGTGCAGTGATTAAACTCTCTGCTGCTAACTGAAAGGCCAATAGTGTGCACCCACCCGTTAGCTCTGAAGGGTAAAAGACCTGGCAATCTCTTCCCACAAGATCATAGCCATAAAAAACCCTCATGGGCCACTTCTACTGTTACATGGGGAGACTTAAATTTGACTCAATAGCACCAGAAGTGACTGGTGAGTTTGAACCATTGACCTTGTGGTTCAAACCAGCCTTGCAGACCAGAGCATTAACCCACAGCACCACACCAGGACTCCAATTACTAAATACTACACAGGACTCCATTTATATGGTGGGAGTTGCTAAGTGCCATGGAGTCGGTTCAGACTCATGGCCATCCTGTATAGGGTTTCTGAGGAACAGGTGGTGAGTGAGCTTGATCCACTTACCTCATGGTTCAAGCTGACATTGCAGTCTAGTGCATAAACCCACAGCACCACACCAGAATGTGGTAGAAGCTAAGACATCCTCTTTCAGCCAGAGAGAGGATGTAAGGAGCTACAGGCCCTATGAACCAAACTGAAGGGCATGTAAAGTAGGTTACCTTATTGAAGTCTCCTCAGTTTATTTTCTTTTCAATGCTTTATAAACCAGTCAGAGTGTCAGTGGGAAACCCAGTCAATTACTCAGGAGCTGTTTTTGCTTCTGGCCACAATTGCTTGCCAGAGAGAGTGTGGCAAGATGAATTAGAAAGCCCCAGTACACAGTCATTTGGCAAGTCTTAACCATTTTGTTAGATACTAGCCTAATACGATACCCCGTGGGCTGCTAGCAATGGGCGTGTGCCTCCAACACTAGCTGGAAAAACACCGAGAGTTTCAAAGTGCTTTGAAAATATGTGCTATCAAACCTGGGTTTGTGATTTCAGTGCGATTTCAGTGCTTATCTGGTGGCGGAAAATAACTGAGCCTGAGCTGTGGAGTCGGACCATCGTGAGTCAATGTGTGAGTAACAACAACCTGTGTCTCTAAGCCTCAGATTCCTCTGTATAATGGGGGGCATGATAGCACCTCCCCTAAAGCAGGTTGTTAAGGTTAAATGGCATAGTAAGTAGAACAGGCTTACCCAGTGCCTAAGGAACCCAGATTGGTGCAAACTGTTTACAACTGGCTGCTAACACGTAAAGACTGTTGGTTCTAACCCAACCAGTGGTTGCTGCAGAAGAAAGCCCTAGTGAACAGCTTCTGCCAAGATTACAGCCAACGAAACCACATGGAAAACCACATGGGGGCGTCATGACTTGGGGGTCAACTTGACAGCAGCTAACATAGCCAACCCAGTGCCTGGTATGTATTACTCTATATGCTTTAGGAGCAACACTGGACTGCAAAACACAAGGTCTGCAGTTCAAATCCACAAGCTGCTACTCAGAAACGCAATATAGAGTCATTATGAGTCAGAACTGACTCAATGGCACTTAACAAAAACCTATCTTGGCAAGACCTACTGCTGGTTCAGAGGTAGAATTCTTGTCTTCTATGTAGGAGGCCCAAGTTTAGTTCCCAGGTAAATCCAAGTCATGTACAACCTCATGGCTTGTGTGTTAGTTACTATGATGCTGAACAGGTTTTAACAAAGCTTCCAGACCAGACAGAATAGGGAAAAGGCCTGGTGATAGACTGCTGAAAATCAGCCAGTGAAAATGGATTACAACAGTCTGATCTACAACCAATCCTGGGGACAGCTCAGGACTGGGTAGCATTTCCTTCCCACGTGTGTTGGGTGCTGACTTGGTGGCAGCTAACAACATAAAACATAAAACAATCTATATTGGGAGGGAAGTAGATGCCTAAGGAAAAGTACTTGCCTGCATTTTTTTCTTCACATAATCAAGAGATAGTCCTTCTCGCTTATACAAATACCCAACTACGCTTATACAAATACCCAACTAAGCAATGGTGGTTTGCCAGGAACCTTGCAGAATGCAAGAGTTTTGATCTAACCTGGCAGACTCCCCAGCTCTGAAAAGATGTTCTCCACATCAACAAGGAGCTCTGGTAGTGTAGTGGTTACGAATCAGGCTGCTAACCTCAAGGTTAGCAGTTCAAAATGACAAGCTGTTTGTTCTGCAGGAGAAAGATGAGGCTTTCTGCTCCCGTAAAGATTCACAGCCTCAGAAACCCTGTATAGGGTCATTAAGAGTTGGAACCGACTTCACGGCACATAACAGAATGGGAATGGAATAAGACGCTTCTGGTCTACCTGAGCACTGAACTCCTTGGGCGATGAGTCCCCACATGAAATTGGCACAGTATTCACACCAGTGCGGGCCTCGGAATGTGTGGACCTGTGTTCCAAAAAGAAAAGAAAAGAGACTTCAGAGTCATGAGACAAATAGACAAAGAAACCAAACACTCAGCGGTGTGAGTAGGCACCTCTCACCTAGCTGTAAACCATCTGGAGAACGCAGAGCTGTGCATTAAGCTTTGGAAATCCTCCACTGATCGCCCAGGCCCGAGTCAAACAGGAATGTGGAGAAACAGCAAGATTATGGGCCATGTCACCAACTCAGATGAAACTCTCACCACCCCAAACAAGGCATTGTGTGGACAAACCAAGGTAGGTAGCCCCAGTCAGTTGTTGTTAGTGGTGGTGGTGTGCAGTGGAGTCGGTTCTAACTCACAGCAACCCTGCATAGGGTTTCCGAGGTTGTCAATCTTTACAGGAGCAGAAAGCCTCATCTTTCTCCTTGCAGAACCGCTGGTAGTTTCGAACTGCTGACCTTAAGGTTGGCAGCCCAACTTGTAACCACTATGCTACCAGAGCACCTACAACCTGTATTTAGCTCAGCAGGTTCCAGAAAGCAGAACTCAATTACTTGTGCCCTTTTGAATGAGGAAGTATGCTGGTGTCTTAGTGGTTAAGTAGTAGGATGCTAATCGAAAGGTCAGCAGTTCAAACCCACCAACTGCTCCCTGGGAGAAAGATGTGTCAGTCTGCTCCCATAAAGATTTATAGCCATAGATACCCTCTGAGGCAGTTCTACTCCTCTATTGGGCCATGGCAATACTTTTTTGGGTGGATTTGATAGAGGTAGCCCCATCTATGTGGACTGTCTTTTGTTGTTGTTGTTAAGTACCGTGGAGTCGGTTCTGACTCATAGTGACCCTACACAGGGTTTCCAAGGCTGTATATCTTACGGGAGCAGACCACCTCATCTTTCTCCCGTGGAACCACTGGTAGTTTTGAACTGCCGACCTTGAGGTTAGCAGCCCAATTCGTAACCACTACGCTACGGACTGTCTAGGCAGGTGTAAATAGGGCATGATTATAGGATAATTATAAGGGCCCAAGGAGTCCTGGTGTGGTGCTGTGGCTTAATGCACTGGACTGCAAAGTCAGTTGAACCACAAGGTCGGTGGTTCAAGCTCACCAGCTGCTCCTTAGAAACCCTAGACAAGGTTGCTATGGGTTGGAACCGACTTGACGGCACTTAACAACCAGGCTTTAAGGCACTTCCAAAAATTGCATTATAAAAGGGAGCGAGTTGGCTAAAAAGACAGGTTTCAACCAGGGCTTACAGAATTACCTTCCTCAGAGACAGGGTCCATATTCAACAGACCCTGGTATGGCTTACAGGTATGATAGCTGAAGTTCCATCTGGAGGGCTATGGCCACTCTCAATGGTTGGTGCCATAGTCAGTTGTTAAATGTTTTGAATATCAACCAAATATGGAAGCACAGTGGCTGCAAACGAGACTGCAAACCACAAGTTATATGGTTCCAGCCCGCTAACTGCTCCACAGGAGAAAGATGAGGCTTTATGCTCCTGCGAAAATGTAAATAAAGCCTAGTAAACTGTATACAGGGTCACTTTGAGTTGGAACTCATTCAATGGTACTTAACAACAATATCACCAAATAAGGATGGTCTAATTATTCAGGAATCCTGGTGTGGTGCAGTGAGGTTAATGCGCTGGGCTGCAAGCTCGCCAGTCGCTCCTCAGAAACCCCATACAGGGTTGTTATGGGTTAGAACAGGCTCAACAGCACTTAATAATGATCCTGTGTACCTGAATAATTGTTAAGTCATGGCTTTAGATAAAAAAACAAAGTATTTATTCTCTGGAATTAACAACCTCCAAGAAGCAGAGCTAGGCAGTTCTTTTTAAGTTAATATAACCAAGGTAAGTAAAAAAACACCATAGGCAGTTAAATTTGGAGGATACAAATCTCCCTAAACAAGTTACAAAATTAAAATATTGTAAGATGGATAATAAGAACTTTCAAAAATAAATTCTCATTAACAAATCAGAAAGGTGTACACTGATATCTAAGAGACACAAGGAAAGCTAATATACTACTTTAAAACACGAAACAACAGAATGAGAAACCTGACCACACTTGGGGAAGATATGGTTAGGTTCTCTGTTAGAGGGAGGGAAAAAAAAAGTACCACGTGGAGTTCTTTCCTTCCTTATTTATACCAGTAACTGACTATATGCAAAGTAACAAAACAGTCCTGGTTCTTGCCTAGAAAAACTCTTAGTGGAAAAAAAATCAAACAGCAACGTATGACCATGGCTTCTGGTCAGTAAGACCAGTTAAATGATCATTGTCTTTGGGTCTTTTTTCACTTATCACACATACACACTGCCCACTGTATAGTCTCTGCTAAGAGACATGTTGATAAAAATCTTCGCAAAATTTTTGCTGTAAGTGAATGCTCCCAAGACTTGACATAACACTCCTATAGAAATGCCGAGTGCTTCACGTGGGGAGCCTCTGTGTGTTTCATACAGCCACAACTTCAGAATTTAATTTAGAGGCCCACTCAGTTGACTGAATGAATAATGTTCTAGTCTCCTAAAGTGGGATATCTAGTACATTCAGCAATCAGGTTTCTTAGCAGTTTACTAGAAATGTTCTGAAAGGCCTGCTGGCCAACTATGGTCCAAAGTCCATTGTGAGCATACCATTGAAATGATAATCAATGAAATGGTAAGATCAATTAAATAGAATAAAATTATGGAAAGGGCCCCAGAAGCAAACTCCTAGAGACTAAGAGGTGCCTCCATGCTGTACAGGAGGGTCAAGAAGGTCTCTCTGGGAAGGTGACCTCAGGTCACCTAAAGGAAGAGAAGGAGCCAGCTCTGTGGGGAGGGTAGAGTGCATTGCAAGCTAAGGGAACGTACAGAGATCTTGCAAGAGCGAAAGAACTTGTAACTGAATCACAAAGAGTGAAGGTGAGAGGAACTGGGATAAGGCTGAAAGCAGAAAAGGAAAAGTCATGAGAGGCCTTGGTTTAGTGTATGTATAATAAGTGCTTGAAGAACTATGATTTTTTTTTCTTCTAAGATTAGTCTGACTATGGAGAATGAATAAGAAGTTGTTCACAGCAGAAAACATGTTCTCTCAAACCACAATAAAGTGTTCAAAAAAAGTTAACAATTGAGCAGATAAGGGTGCCATTTGCAGACATAGAAAAGATACTTGTGAGGAAAAGATTCAAGAATTCAGTTTTGGATAAGTAAGGTTAGATGTTGCTAAGATATTCTGTGTTAATGCCAAGCAGGGATTTACACTTAATTTGAGAGCTCAGAGGAAGGGCCAGGGCTGGAGGTATGAATTTGGTCATTCTTGGAAAATTGTTTTATTATAAATTGAGTATATAAATTGAGTAAATGAATAAGACCTATTCTGGAGAGAAAGCAGATAATAAGACCTATTCTGGAGAGAAAGCAGATAATGAAAAACAGTGTCCAACTCTCTAAGGTCTTGGTGTCAGAAAACTAAGTGTTTAAGGAGTTTGGAGGTGAAAGTGCTTTAGGGAAGGTTGGATGCTGCTAGGACCTCTAGTTAGAAGAGGACTAAACCCTAACTCAGACACAACCTTGGCAGGAGCAGCCTCTATGAACTGGAGAGGGAAGACGTCACAGGAAAGTGAGGTGAAGAATAAATGAGTGGCAAGGAAGTAGCCCTGTAGGATCAGCACTGGACTGCTCACCACAAGCTGCTCCTTGGAAATATGGGGTCGCTATGAGTCCGAACTGAGTGCACAGCACTTAATGACAAGGACATGGTAAAATGTGCAAGCACCTTTGTTAAAAAGGTTGGCTGTGATGTTCCATAGAGAAACAGGGTAGCTCATGGGAAATGTGAGCTCAAGGAGGGTATTATTGAAAAGACTGGAGATATTAGGGCCCTTTGCTTCACGGAGGGAGCGACTGGAGATGCAGAAGAGAGAGAAAATCGGCAGAGGGCTGGTGATTCCGAGGAGGTGATGGGGTATAATAATATAGAAGCAGTGGTCAAAGAAAGAGAAAAAATAGTTGCAAATAAATTAGTGTAAGATATGAAATATTCAGGATATGAAATATCCAGGTTAAAAAATCAAAATGAGTATCAAGCAAAGAGACATAAAAAATTAACCCCTACCTAGCTAGTGGTAGTACTTATTGCCAAAGTCAGTTCTGACTCATGGCGACCCTGCGCATAGTTTCCGAGACTTTTAAAAATCTTGTCAGGAGCAGAAAGTTTCATCTGTTGTTAAAAAGCATAATGTAAAACCAAAAACAGATTTGATCAACCCATTAAAGGCAGGAAAGGAAAAAAACCCAAAAAACAAAGAAGCAATGAAAAAGCATGGTAAATACAGAAAAAGGGAAAAACATTATTTAAAAAATCATAATAAATGTAAAGGGCTACTACTCATCAGATAAAATAAATCGTCAGAACAGATTTCTCAAATTCTTTCAAGAAACACACTCAAAGCATAATGTGACAAATATGTCAGCAGTAAAGGGAAAGGAAAAGATATGTTTAGCCAATGCAAGCTAATAGAAACCCAAAATATCTATAAACCCAAACCAAATCCATCAAGTCGATGTTTATAGATTATTGGCATTCTAATCCTTAAAATAATTGTGTGGCTTCTCGCTTAAGGTTTGTTATATTGATGATTTCTAGGAATATGTAAATGATCATAAATTCCTGGAATAAAAACCTCGTTGGCAATAATTTTTTCAAAATTCTAATGCTACGCTTAGAAAGCTTTCACGAGTATGATTAGTTACAGTAAGGTAAAATCCCTGCTGACTAGTTGAGAGGGTTTTATGACTTAATTGTTAGTAATTCTTAGCAGGATTAATTGCGATGGTCATAACTGTAATTGCGGAAGATGGGCAACTAAAAGGGGGGAGTCATTAATCTTTCATTTCAGGAACAGAAGATCCTAGGGCCATCAAGAAGGAAGAGTAGGGTGTGGGATCCCTACCTAGAAAAGCAAAGACAGCAGAGATGGTGGCTGTGTGCCTGGGCACAGGAGACTGGCTGGTATAATGTGTCC